TACTTACTTACTTACTTACTTACTTACTTACTTACTTACTTACTTACTTACTTACTTACTTACTTACTTACTTACTTACTTACTTACTTACTTACTTACTTACTTACTTATTTATTTATTTATTTGAGTAGGAACAAAGCACATTAATGAACATCAGTATAAAAACAAATGTAAATATGCCAGATTATAGCTACAAAGATAGTTTTCATCCGTAGTCCCTAGGCAGGCAAATACATAAGAACAAACAAATAATAAACAATATAAGCATCACAAGGAAATGTTAAGAGTTTAGTGGTCACTTAACTGGTTTGTTTTCATCCGTAGTTTGAGTTGAGCTCTAAAGTTGATCAGTGTAGAGGAAGACTGTTCCAGATGTTAACGGCTTTCACAGAAAGTGTTCTGACCAAAAGTCGTTCTTCTGTGAGGAACCTCACAGTCTCCTGTGGTTCTCCTCTGGTTCTCCTCTGGTTCTCCTCTGGTTCTCCTCTGGTTCTCAGCCCACTTGAAGTCTTAAGTTTAAACAGGGTAGGGCACTAGGTGGGGCTAGTCCATGTAGCGCTTTATAAATGAAGCATACATACTTATTAGCAAATGTGTATTTTTCTTCATATTCAGATGGTCATAAACTATAAGATGACCATAAATCCCAGAAGTTGAGTTTCTCTCTCCTGTGTAAACTAACAAATTTTTATCTTTGCAACTGTGCAACCCATCCCTCCATTTTCTTTATAATTTATTCCTGGTGGAGGTGGGGGGGGGGTCCATCACAGGGCCCCACAGAGACAAATAACTAAGAATAGAGGTCTTCTCAAATGAGTACATGGAGACAAATTAATACTTAACCATTAACCCTTTAAGCCTGATCCAGGAATAAAAAAAGACTAGTTTTAAGTCTTTATTTGTCCTTTTAACAAAATATGTAAAAAGAAGAAACAAAAATAAATTTTAATATTAATAATTTATTACTATGCGATAAATCAAGATTATTTTTTGTGTAGTCTTCTGCCCCCTGTTATCAGGTGTATCTGATTATGTCCATCTGATTAGCCCAATTTAGTCAAGAAATAAACAACAACGCATGCAATTCTTTGTCCATTTAACCTTAAACAGTAAAAAAAAAGTGAATCATCATATATATTTTATTAAATATATGCCGAATTCACACCTAAATGTTTCAAACATGAGGACTTTAAGTCTCCAACAAAGTAAAGTTTTGATTATATCTCCTCCACATTTAGAGATCTAGGGTTCATGACCTCAAACGAGGGCTTCACAAAGTAATGTTGCTAATAAGAGGAAAAAAATACAACAAATACAACAGAAAAGTGAGAAAAATGCTGAACACGATGTGAATCGGGAACACTTACAACCACATGATAATGTGGGGCCGACAGGGTTGTTCTTCTTTTATATTTTTCTTTGTTTCCACTCTTTTTTTAGCACCCTCTTTCATTTATTTAAACTTCACCCAACCAAGAGATCACAGAGGAGGGCACGGGCTTTATTCAGACTGAGTATTTCCAGGGACATTCACAGTAAAAACAGATTTGCACTTCGAGGGGAATGTGTGGAATCCCAGACCTCATTAAATCCTCAAAAACTATTTGGCCTTTGGAAAGCACTCGAAATCGACCCGGAGACGGCTAGCGATAGCCGCCGTTAGCAGGTCTGGACTTCCCTTATAGGGGATGAGTGTTAACCCCTCAACAACGTATGAAGAAAAAAAAACTGAAATGATTTTGATCAAATTAGCGTGCAATAAGTCAAAAATATATGTTGGTGTAGTCTTCTACTGGCTGTTATCAGGTATATCTGAATGTGTACAACAGGGGTTTGAGCAAAGCTTTTACCACTGAATGATGCAAAAAGTCTCAGATCCAAAAGACTTCAGAAACCGGATCAGATATGATACATTTAGCATTAAAAGGTTAATTAGAAAAATACATTTTATTTTTAAAAAGCGCCTTTCACGCTACTGGAGGACACTTTACAAAGACGACCATCATTAAAATAACATTGAAACATAAGAAAACATACAAAGTCATAAATACATCATAAATAAAAAATATCATTGATTAATTAAATGACTAAAACTGTGCAAAATGAGGGAATGTTAGAGTTAGGGATGAGGTGGGTAAGACATTTTAAAGCGGTGGGTTTTGAGTTTTGTTTTGCAAATATCGGCGGCCGATCCGATCCAGATATCAGATCGGGACCAGCCCAGACCTTAGTGAAACTGAAAAAGCAGGTGTTAGCCCGATTCTTTAGTTGGAAACCTCAGAACAAACCAGAGTGGATCAAAAGTATAAAAAATAACATTTATTGGGTCACAGTTAAGTGTATCATTGGGCTCTGACAGACTAAAACCTCTCTCTGGGTCTCAGTGGGCAAAGAGCCCTGAGATCTGGGTGATGGGCATTATCTCCTGGGCTCCATCCGCCTCCTCAAAGGAGGACTGGACACAACCAAGTCCTATTGGCCAGTTA